AACTTCTTTATCCCACTGTAGTCATTGTCTGATATGGAATGTGCTTCAAATTCAATGTTCACTTCCTGGGAAGAAGTAAAATAGAGAATATCAAACACACTTGGCAAGAACCTCGAAGACAAGTAATGGCAAACACCAGAAACAAAACTTATTTCCATGTTTCAGTGACCTCAGCAATTGTCAGTTATCGTTTCTTCTGTGACAGAAGCAGAGCAGCTGCGGCTGCCCCATCCCTGGAAATGTTCAAGGCCAGGTTGGATGGGACTTGGAGCAACCTGTTGGATAGTGGAAGGTGCCCCTGGCCAGGGCAGGGGGAACAAGATGAGCTTTAAGGTCCTTTCCAGCCCAAACCATTCTGTGATTCTGATATTTTCCTACGGTCTAGTAAGACAAGGAAGCTCTACAGAGGTAACTGAGACCACATTATTTACTTGAAAAGCTACCTGGACATACAGCATACTCTCTGACTGCTTTAAAATTCAAGGATCTCACTCAATGATTAAGCCAGTAAATTCAGGACAAAACACAGTTCACAGTTGTTCTGAATACTGGGCAAATCACTGCCATAAAATTGATATAAACCAAGGGAGCCCGGGATGTTCTAACACCAGTCCTGCTTCATGGCTTTTCCACTACCCAAAATAATACCCTGGTAGGACAGAGTTTACAAAGGCTTGATAGGGCAAAATTAAAAATGCCCTTGAAGTTTTACTTCCCAAAGTTGTAAGACTGCACAGTTATAAATGTCAGTACATTTATTTAATATTACAATGCACACCTTGATGTCTTATACAAGAACTGATGGAAACTCAATATAACTTTATATCAAGACTTCCAAACTGAAAGAGATGTAAGAGTGATATATCACCCTCAAAAGCTGGGCTACTAAATTAAAATAAATGTAATACTGCAAATGTTATCCAGTTGAACTGAAAAGAGAGCACAGTAGTGCAGGACACACAAACCATCCTCAAAACCCCTGTCACTGAAGACTCAAGAAACTTCATCCACAACTCAATAAAATCCACTGTCCTACCCACATTGTGCAGGGATGTTGGGCACTTTTAAGAAAAAGGACGAAAAAGAAAGGATTATTGTCATTAGCTTCAATTTTTTAGTGTTGAAACAGTAGTGAAGTGTCTTTTACCAGTTTACAAACACTGAACAGGACACACAGTACCAGCAGTGCCAGTCCAGAACCTCAACATATGTTAAGATCAAACCAGGGCAGTGCCCAGTCAATGGTCTTAGAGGGCTTTTCCAGCCTAAATGATTCTGTGCTTCTGTGCACTGACTCTGAACTCCTACTAAAATCTTCAGATAAGGCAATCTGTTATTTTCACAGGGCTGGTACATTTTAAATTAAATATTTTGCTGCAGTGACTGTGTTCACCAGGACTTCACTTTTAGTTGATTATTTTCCTTCTTCTTAGCTCAGGCCTTACTTAAGTTAGCAAATAAAAAACCCACAAACCCTATCTTTTTTAAAAAAACACATGTCCTGATAAGAAGTGTAGGTTTAATTGTGTTATCAGCTGTAGTAACACGATGGAAAAGCACATTTCCCCTTTGCTAGAAACGTCTGCCACATTGAATGGGCACTGCCCTGGTTTGACCTAACACGTGCTGAACTCTGGACTGGCACTGCTGGTACCCAGACATCGTCCTACACACCTTCCCCAAGCATCCTCCTAAACAAACATCCCCCTAAACATCTTCACGAACATCCATCCCCCCAAACATCCTCCTACACACCTTCCCCAAGGATCCTCCTAAACAAACAACCCCTTAAACATCTTCACGAACATCCGTCCCCCCAAACATCCTCCTACACACCTTCCCCAAGGATCCTCCTAAACAAACTATCCTCCTGAACATCTTCACCAACATCCGTCCCCCCAAACATCCTCCTAAACACCTTCTTCCCAAGCATCCCCCTAA